AGTAAGAGTTCTGCTTTTCAGTAAGCTTGTCAATAAGTTAAGACGAAGAGGTGTTGGATTTTTGAGTTGTTTACCTTTTTAAAAACATCTGGTTTCATGGTCATTTGAAGTAATGATAGGAAGCAAGATAAAACGCCCTTAACGTGTGGTGTGTTTGTGTGTAAACAGAAAGATGGAATGAGACGTAGTAGCAGTGGGTTTGTCTATATTAACTCTTTAATTGAATATACTGCAAATGTCTGTCTCTTTATCTCTCGCTCCGTCGTCCAGGGTCATGACCAGAGCTCCACCCTGTCCCAGCACACAGCAGAGCTGACCCTGCCCAAACACAGCCCCCTCCACAGGGACCTGCTGCGCTACGCCAAGCTCATGGAGTGGCTGAAGAACACCCACAGGGAGAAGTACGAGGGCCTGTCGAGGGTCAGTGCTCTTATCCCGCTAAAACATTTTGGAAGATATGGGAGAGAGGATTGACACCACACTTGGGTGACAGTGTGGTTACCGTGGTAACGCCAAGTGCAGTTTACAGCAAACTCTTCTTGACCCCAACTTCGTCATAAATACAGCCATAAAAGAGTAATAATAGAATTAGGGCTGTAATGATGTCAGATTTTCACTGCAGGATTATCATGGCTAAAAGAATTCACAATAACGACATTATCGCAAAATCTATAGATAATTTGAAAAAACAATAATAATAATGATAATAATAATGTTAAGTAGTGAACTTTAAAGATGTTTGTTTATAGATTTTTTTTGTTTGTTTCATATTCATCTGACTCAGCAAGAAAAGAAACTAGTGTTTTTCTCAGAAATGTCAAACTACTCCTGTGATACTTGGGACATGGAGTTTAGAGAACCTAAACAAATGTTCTCTCTCTCTTTTTCAGACCTACGTCGATTATATGAGCAGACTATATGAACGAGAAATCAAAGACTTCTTCGAGGTTGCCAAGATAAAGATGGCGGGAACAACCAAGGAAGCGAAGGGCAAGTTTGGTAAGAGCTGTGATTCAGAGACGTGTTATGAAGCATGTCTGTCTCCTGCACTTGATGCTGTTATGTGTGATTAGGATTTTTTTTTTTTAGTAACATATCTGTTTGTCTTTTTCTCCTTTTTTTGCAACATGTAGTTCACTCAAAGGTTGTGTGAATTTCACTGCATCCGGAGTATTTTGTCCAATATTTGTATCGTACTGTCACACAGAAATTAATGTTTAAATAAGGAAACAAGGCCTCATTCTTTTCCAGCCTTTTCTACATCACCTCACTAATGTTCTCTTCCAAAGTGTTTAATGTTCTGCTTCATGTTTTATCTTTTGATAACGTCTCCTCTTCCCTTTTACATAATAAATTCTGTACTCTTTTTATTCTTTAGAATATAAATAGGATCCTTGGTTGAGCTTTGGTTTTGGCAGAATTATAGAACTCTGCTTTCTGCTCTCTGTATTAGCTTTTCCTTCTGAAAACAAAAAAAAAGAAAAAAGAATTTGTTTTCCAAAGGTTTGTCCAAAGCTACGAGCACATAAACTGCAGCGCACGTCAGCATATATGTAACTTTGTACATCTAACGTCTGGCCTCACTCCTCCCATGCTGCATGTTTTAAGCCTAACCTGTCTCTGTCTCTGATGCCTGCCTTTTTAACTGGCTGCAGCCACGCTTCCGCGGAAAGAAAGTGCACTCAAACAGGAAACGGAAAGTAAGTACGCTCCATCTGGACAGAGCTTTTCCACTGTTAATTACCCGTTCTGCTTCTCACCACTGTGCCTTACACAACTGCACTAAAAGTTGCTCAAACTCTTTTCACCACCCTGAAACACTTTCAGCCCTACAAACCATTACCTCGCCACGTACCTGGTTGGTTTGTGCTGAATGTTCACAATGCTGCTTAATGCATCATCACATAATCTGATTCTATGATAAATGCCTACAAAAGCTAACCATTGTTAACCATTTGTCTTTTATTGATTTTGAAACTCAATTGTTTTTAATAGTGTCATAATTGACAGACATAAACCTGCAGTTTGAATGATATTCCCAAAACTTGGGCTCTTTTTCATTAAAAGGATTAAACGCTGTATTTGTTGTGCTGTCTCAGGCCTTCATGGCAGCTCTGGGAAGCTGACAGGCTCTACCTCAAGCCTGAACAAGCTGACAGTGCAGGGCTCCAACAGCCGGCGTTCCCAGTCGTCCTCGCTGCTGGACATGGGCAACATGTCCGCCTCCGACCTGGACGTGGCGGACAGGACCAAGTTTGACAAGGTGACACAGCCAGAGATACACAGATTTAATCAAATCAGCTGTGTGTTCCTCTGTTGCTCTGTGATGTGGGATTAAACGTGGTATTTCTCTGCAGATATTTGAGCAGGTCCTCAGTGAGCTGGAGCCTCTGTGTCTCGCAGAGCAAGACTTCATCAGCAAGTTCTTTAAGCTGCAGCAGCACCCGACAGTTGCGCCCCCGCTCGCTCAGGTAAATCTGTGATCATGCACAGGAAATATCTGTGACAGGAGAATCAAACAGCACGCCACCAACTAATGTGTAGTCTGTTGTAACATGAAACTGTCTAATCCAAAATAATAACGTTAACTTCACTTTGCATCAGTTGCTCTACTCATGTGGAGCCGCCTGAAATTGGAACATTTTTCTCAAGAATCGCAAGAAATAATACAGCAATAACAGACGCTGGCATGTTTTCAGATTCATGTGCTCGTCAGCAGATGTTTGTTTGGATTTGTCATGTTTTATGTCCATTGTCCTGGCAGCCCGAGACAGAGGAGTCAGATGGAGGCATGCTGTCGAGAGTGCCTCCCCAGGCAGAACACAGACACTCCTTGTCATCAGAGTGAGTACTCGCACATCGTCTTCGAACAGCTCTGCTGCAAAGGTCACCCATCTTCACAGCCAGAAACATCATATATATATTTATAATGAAACCAAATTATATTCATATTTATCTCATGTGGCGCTCCCTTCTTCTCTCACCTCTGTCTTTTCCACAACTTCCTGTCCTGTCTTGACTGAAGGAAAGACATGGTGCGGCTGATGATGAATAAAATCTTCCAGAGCATCGAGACGGAGCTCAACAGTCTCATCGCTCTGGGTGACAAGATTGACAGCTTCAACTCTCTCTACATGCTGGTGAAGATGAGTCACCACGTGTGGACAGCTGAGAACGTTGACCCGGCCTCGTACCTCAGCACTACTTTGGGAAATGTGCTGGTCACTGTCAAGAGGAACTTTGACAAGTGCATTGTGAGTGGACGCCGTATGACGAGGAAAATTCATGCTTTCTTGTCTCTGGTTCTTGTCAGCACATCCCTAAATGAAAGTATGGTTTATTTCAGTGAAATAAAAAAAAGGCTTACATGTTGTTTTCTCACAGTCTGGTCAGATCAGACAGATGGAGGAGGTGAAGATTTCAAAGAAAAGCAAAGTTGGTATCCTGCCTTTTGTGACTGGGTTTGAGGAGTTTGCTGAGCTGGCTGAAACAATCTTCCGCAACGCAGAGCGTCGAGGGGACCTGGATAAAGCTTACGTTAAACTTATCAGGGCCGTCTTCATGAACGGTAAGAACCACCAGTCATCCAGAATCAAACACTGATTGGCAAGACACTAAGCTCTGAATATTCATTGTCTTTCCAGTGGAGAAGGTAGCCAATGAAAGCCAGAAGACGCCTCGGGACGTTGTGATGATGGAGAATTTCCACCACATCTTTTCCACACTGTCACGTCTAAAGATCTCCTGCCTGGACGCAGAGAGACGAGAAGCCAAGCACAAATACACAGATCACCTGCAGTCCTATGTAATCAACTCCCTGGGCCAGCCTCTGGAAAAACTCAATGTAAGAGGGAATATCGTTTAGAGTGATCATCAGTAATCATATGTAGGATATAGGAATCCTGACTTGTATTAAATGCATCATAGGTAAACTGTCATCTCTCTCTTGCAGCATTTCTTTGAAGGAGTTGAGGCACGTGTAGCTCAGGGTGTTCGTGAGGAGGAGGTGAGCTACCAGCTGGCCTTCAACAAACAAGAGCTACGCAAAGTTATCAAAGAATACCCGGGCAAAGAGGTGAAAAAGGGACTCGACAACCTTTACAAAAAGGTGGACAAACACCTGTGTGAGGAGGAAAGTCTGCTGCAGGTGAGAAATTCAGAGTTTTTAAAGGCGTGAAGATACTCTTCTGTGTCAGCCGCGTCACATTCCTCACTGTTGCTCTTCCTGATTCACTCCACCAGGTGGTGTGGCACTCCATGCAGGACGAGTTCATCCGTCAGTACAAGCACTTTGAAGATTTGATCGGCAGATGCTACCCTGGATCTGGGATCACCATGGAGTTTACCATTCAGGATATGTTGGAGTACTTCTCCAGCATTGCTCAGTCTCATTAGTCCAGCTGCTTCACACTGATAATTAGTGATTCACTACTGCCTCACACTGGCTGAACATACATTAGCTATTTACAAACTTCCCTGTATTGCTTTTTGGATGATGAAACATTTCCTCTATGTGTGTCTGTGTGTTGTAATGAAAGAGTTGCGGTGCAGATGTCTCTGCATTGTGCGTGTGCGCCTGTTTCTTTGAGAGTCAACAACTCTGCTCTAAATATTTGTTATATTTTTATGTCTTTATGCCATATGTACATAATAAATTTGCATCTGCCAACCCTCCATAGCTTTATCGTACCATTTTTTATCTGTTTTATTAAGCGCACAGCATTGAATAGCGTTTATATGCTTGAGCTCAAGCCTGACCCCGCCCCTCCGCCTTCTACTCGGACGACGCCGATTCTCAAAACAAGCCGCTCCAGATGTTCCGCAGCGCGTCTATGAACTTCCATGGTGACGAATCCAAACCGGAGGTCAGCGGCGCTCTTTTCAAACCCCTTTACCGCGGAAACATGTCAACAGAGGAGCTGTTGATGGTCAACCTTTAACCGAGAACGAGATGCGATGCTATAATCAAAGTCATGAAAATAATTTGTCCGAGCGAGACGTTTATGTCGACGATGTAGAGCTAAGTTGATGCTGGTTAAGCTAACGTTAGCACCATCCTTCAAAGCAAGGTGAGTTGAGGCAAACTTCCTGAGATTTAACGCTTTTAAAGTGGCTAACTGTTTTCAAACTGTGCTGACAGGTGGGCTAATGCTACTTGTTAGCTCTTAAAAAACAAGCAGCTCAATAGATACGTGCGCAGATTGCTAATATAGGCTTATTAGCTACTTAACGTTAAGCTAGCTAGCTAACGTTAGCCAACAATAAACGCCTGGCTAACGGTAGTGAGCTTAATTAGCCACTGTTCGCTACTCTCATAACCTGACACGGTTCTCAACAGTGCACGCTGTTTATTTCACGTTGTTTTAAGTATCTTCTTACTTTAGCTACCTTGCTAACCAACGTAAACGCTGCTATGTTGTGCCATAGCCATGAACAGCAGCGCAGAGAGGAAGTTTGTCAACTTGAGAAAGCGTCTAGATCAGCTGGGCTACCGACAGCCACTGGGGATAGAGTCACTGCCACTAGTGGAGAAATTGTTCAGGTAAAAAAAAAACCCTTCACCCCCACTGCACCTCCTCGCCTTCATCCTATAACATCAGCCAGGCAGTCACGGTGGATTAAATGTATTTAGGGCTGATCTTCTCTCTGTGTTACAGTGACCTGGTTCACACCACTGAGAGCTTGCGCAATGCCAAACTGTCAGCCGGTAAGACCGAGAAAGAAAGCCGAAACTTTGATGCTGTTCTGGAGCCGTACAGGACAGAGAATGCCCGGGTGGTCAGGGAGAACAACGAGCTGCACCTCGAGGTCCTGAAGCTGAAGGAGGACAAGGATCGTGTCACCAGAGGTAAGCCGTGATAAACTACTACTCAAGACAGTCTGAGACACACTCATCCACAAAAGACTGCTTTGATAACTTCACATAAATCTTGTCTGGCTTCAGAGCTCAAGACCCACATCAGAAAACTGGACCATGAGACATCTGACCTGAAGTTTTTAAACAATCAGTATGTGCACAAGGTTCGCTGCCTGGAGAAGGATAGCAAGGCGAAAGCCGAGCGCATCCAGCAGCTCCAGGAGAAGAACATGCAAGCTGTGGTGCAGACACCAGGTAAACACCAGCTGTCTGACCAAAGTTTCACAATGAAAGTGGCTGCACTATCTTTGTTTCAAAAATGCTGTTTCTTGAGAAAGACAGGTGAGATCATGTTTGACTTTTAAAGAGCATTCAAAAGTCACTTGTTAATCGTGACATTCACAGGTGGGAAGAAGCGCAGTATTCCTTTCAGACGTCAGAGGATGCAGATTGATGAGCTCACAACTCCCTCCTCCATATCAGCTTACCCTGTGTCGCAGCCTGACGATCCGTACATAGCTGACCTGCTGCTGTTAGCGGACGGAAGGTTTGTTTTCTTTTGTAACAGCTGAAATATATTATTGTATTTGCATCATTTCTGTTTTTACTCACTGTGAGTTTGATTTGTAGAATTCATGAGCTACAGGAAGACATCATAAAGGTCAAACTGGACCTGGAGAATGCTCAAGAATATATAAAACACTTAAACACACAGGTAAGAAATAAATTAACTAGAAGCTTCTACATTTGTGATGCGTTAAATGTTCATATGGAGGACGTTAAGTGTTGTTTTATTCTTATTTACTTCTATGAGGTGGAGGAGAGGAACAAAGAGATCGAGCGTCTGAATCGTGTTCTCCAAGGAGGGCGGCCTCATGATGTCATCTCTCTCGAGGCTCAAAACAGCAGCAACGAGAAGCTGATTTCTCATCTTAACCTTCAGGCAAGTGTAGTTGTCATAGAGGATATTAACTATCATTTATCAACGCATGTGGAATAATTTTTTAATATGCACTATGGTCTTCAGCCAGTTCCTCTGGAAGAAAAGAAGTCTGCATGGTTGCTACCCACCATCCTGCCTGTTGACTGGTATCTATGTCTTTGGGTTCCACAGATTGAGTACCTGCAGGAGACCAATAGGACGCTGGAGCAGAAGGTAGAAGGACTGCAGCAGAAGAAGAAAGACGCCTCGACTGAAGTGGCTAATCTGTCTCTGAAGAACCTGGAACTGTGTGAAGAGCTGACACACATAGACGACCTCGCGAAGCGGCTGGAGATGGACAAAGAGCGGGTGTTGGAAACCGCTGACATGGAACTCCAAGAAACTAAAGTGAGAATATGAGAAAGACTTACAATGAAAATGTACTGTATTTACAGGCGTTGATTATAAGTGCTTAAGGTAACTAAGTGGGGGTTAGAATAATGATAACAATCCAACAAAAGTTAAATGTTTTCTCAACAGAAAGAAATTGAAAGGCAACAGAAAATCATAGAAGACTTGGAGGATGTAATCACAAATACAAGGAAGGTATTTACAGTATAATCTGTTCTCATACTATATTTTCTTCATAGAAATACTCCTGAGTTTTAGTTTGTAATTCCTGAGTGAACATACACCACTATTCTTTGATAAAAACCTGTCCCATGTTGAAATGTTACACAAACCAAAAGCTCAGTCTGTTGGAAATGATTGAATCCAGGAGCAGGCTGAAGGTGAATTTGAAAGAGACCATCTCAGAGATCAGCTGGTGGAGCTCAAAGAGCAGAATGAGAAAATGGAGGGACTGGTGAACTTCCTGGAGGATGAGAAAATCAGGCTCCAGGACAAGATGGAGAAAATGATGGCAGCTGGTGAGCAGCAGTTTGGTGTACCTCAGCTGTTGAACGCTCCTCTTTAAGCAACTTTAAATTGTTGATGTCATTGTATCACTGACCAGACAAAGACCTGGTGCTGGAGCTGGAGACCATGCGGGCTAAACACGGTGTTTGTGGAAGGGAACGCTCCCCGTCACGTCTGGACGCATTTGTCAAGAGTCTAGAGGAGGAGAGAGATTACTATCGCCTGGAGGCTGAGCGCTACAAAAGAGTCCGAGGGGCCGGTGGTCTGGACTTAAGCCCGAGTCGTAGTCCAGGAAGAGGCAGAAGTCCGAGGTCCAAGGTAACAAGGGTAAGAAATCGCTAAATCTGATGACTGTTCTTGTTTCATGGGGTCTTTAAGTAATTTCTGATGCAAAGAATCTGCAGTTTAATGGCTTCAAATTTTCAGGGAAGTATCGCAGAAGCAGAGCTGCTCCGTGTCATGAAGGAAAGAGACGAGCTGAAGGCCGCTCTGCTGGACTTTGAGAAGCACATGGAGGACATCCAAAACAACGTGAAGGCCCTCTGCACCGAGAGAGACCAGTTCAAAACCCTGTTCAGACAGGTGAGTTTTAAAAACAACGTGTCATGAGGTGTGCACTTGAAATGACTTATTTTCTTCTGAAGACCAAACGTTGTTGTTGGTTCAGGCTCAGGAGGATTTACAGCTGGCCCGCAGCACGGATAAGTCAGCTGACGTCTTGAAGCTGCAGGAGGAGCTCAGACAGGCAGAAATCACCATCGAGCAGATGAGCGTTGAAAGAGACACACTGATGGAGAGATTAAAGGTTAGTCCCAGAGTAACCACTTCCACGGTGCACATGACTCTGTTGCTCCATACACGTATTACCATATAATAATAATAATAATAATAATTATATATAGATAAGTTAATAAATCTGCAGTGAAACCAGTACATATCTGTAGATTACACATCTGTAGTCTGTCCTTACTATTGGTCAGACTCATTTTTAGTTGTTGATTAGTCAGTATGTTTACTTTAGTAAAGTTAAGCATATCTGGAATGTTTAAGTTGCTCAAATTTACAGCTGAAATTATCATTAGTCAATAAGTCAGTTAGACAGTCACTTCCCTAACTTTCCTCTCTCTCTCTCTCTCTCATAACTTTGAATGGACAGCACGGAGCCTAACACACTGATATTCACACATTTTGCAGGTTGCCCAGACTTCAGCTCTCACAGACAGACAGGGGGAGGAGAGCAGGATTCTTGACCTGGAAAATGCCTTTAAGAGTGTAAGCCTGATGTTTCTGTAAATCTGCTCCAACATTTTCCCCTGACTGGATCTCAAAAGCCGCAGCAGAGAATTATTATAACGTTCCCTACTGTAACTTTGGTCCTTAGTGGCTCTGTGTTGCTGTGTTTTTACCTTTGTGTGTATTGTGGTGCAGTTGGAGCAGGAGAGACTAGACCTGCGGTCACAGGTGTGTCTGCTGAAGGAGAGCAGGGAGGCTGTGGAGGAGGAGCTGAAGGTTCGGTCTGCCGCTCTGGTCCAGAACGCAGAGGAGGCGGCCCAGCAGAGGGCCGAGTGTAACGCTCTGAGGTTCGTGTCAAAACAATAATGAAAGTTTAAATGTTAATAATATTACTGCTGCCAGAAAGTAAGTTAAATTCATATAGTCTTACAATTGCAGCAAATTTCAAGTGTTGTCAGTGTCTTCTCACTATCCTGTGTGTTTCATGAATCAGAAATCTCCCTCCCTCTCTGTGAAGATGCATTTTAAAGCCAGGTGTGAACTGATGAACTTAGAGCTGTCCACTCGTGATCGGATCACTGAGGACGCAGGTTGATGCCAGGTCTGAACAGGGCCTTACAGATGGACTGACTGGCTTTCCCCTGTCTCTCTACAGGCTGCTGCAGGAGCAGATGGAGCAGTCTCTGTCTGACACCCAGCACAGGCTCTCTGTGAAGATGAACGAGCTGCACGCTGCCCACGGGCAGATCCAGAAACTGGAGGAGAGAATAGGTGAACCTTTGTTGATTTGATGAGGTCTAGAATCAAGGGTTGTGTTGTTCTTCTGCAGTCTCTTCTCTGCGGTTGCTCGGCTGTTTGCCTGATTTGAGTTTGTCCGCCAGGGGAGCTGAGTCAGCGGGGCTCCAAGCACAAGGAGGACGTGGTTGTTCTTCAGAAGTCGGTCTCTGCCCTGGATAGAGAGAAAGATGCTCTCCAGGATGAAGTTGATCAAAAGACTGAAAAGCTGGTTGCTCTGCAGGAGGAGCTTTCCACGAAGGTAGACATCACAAACAAATATCAGGATTACAAACTCTGTACAATGAAAAAGTATTGGTCCCTGTCTGTACTGCCTATTCCAATGTACAGTAAGTGATGGATTAAATTCTGTCTCTGAGCCATAAGTTGAGAACTAATGAAGCGTTTCCACAGGAAAACACCCTGGAAGACGTGAAAATCACTGTTACAACGATGGAGAGCTCAGTAGCGTGAGTATCGTGGTCTCAAAGCTCCCTGGGTCGGTTTTCTAATACAACAGAACGCCATGATAAAAGTCTGACACATTAATGTGTGATCCTCTCAGTCAGCTGCAGGGGGCGCTAAACAGCAGAGAGAGGGAGATCACCAGCCTGAGGAGGCAGCTGGACGCCTCTCAGGAGGAGCTGGCTGGACTCAGGAGAGACAAAGAAATCACCATCAGAGAGAACAGGAGGCTGCAGGACGACCTGGCCACAATGACCAGGGAGAACCAAGTGTGTATTAGAGCTTGTGTTCAGTTCTTCTGTGTCCCACGTAGAGAAGGTGAAGAGATAACAGCAGCTCCTCCTGTGTCCCGTGTGTGTCTGTGCAGGCTGTTCACATGGAGATGGAAGAGGCTTTACATGAGAAGGATGAGCTGAAACTGAGAGTCCACTCCTACATTTCTGAAGTGTCCAGAATCGAGAAACTGATGGCCACAAAGGCAAGAGAGCGCCGCACGCTCCTACTCCTCCTTTTCCACAGTGTCTGGACGTCCCATAGGTGTCCACTCAGTCTCACTTAGCTCGGTGTTTGACCCACAGGAGCAGGAGAACAGGGACCTGCTGGAGAGGTTCAGGATGGCTCACTCTGAGGTGGAGGAGCGCGAGCAGAAGCTGCAGCAGGCTGAGGGCCTCACGAACTCCATTCGCCTGGAGCTGCTCTCCTCAGACACAGAACGCAGGCACCTCCGCGACACTGTCGGCCACCAGGAGAGAGAAATCCATCAGGTGAGACACGAGCTGGAACGAGCAGCCGATACATCCGTGTTAGGGAGAAAGATTTCCAGCAGCTACTCTAGGTCAACTCTTTAACTGACGTGAGGTAAATGAACCTTTCACCCTGCTGTTTTCCTAAGCACACGCAGGCCCTGCAGGCTTATGAGGCCCAGGTATCTTCGCTGGTTCGCGGGATGTCCCGAATAGAGGAGGAGCTACACAAAGCTCAGGAGGAGAAGGCAACTCTCCTCTCAGATGTGGCTTCAGTCAGGGAGCTCTGCGTCAAACTGGACTCTGGCAAGGAGCTCACCGCACGTCAGCTCACCTCCAAGAGCATGGACCTGGAGAGGGTGAGGGTCACTGCGGCTTTGACTTCGCTTTAAACACACGGCTGTGAAACGTTCGCCGGCAGCAGTTCTCTGTTCTGACATACTTGTGCTTTCTGTCAATGTGTGCACGTTGGTTAGGTGACAGGAGAGCTGGAGGATGTTCGGTCAGAGGCGGAGCTACTGAAGAAGCAGCTGGCCAGTGAGAGGTTGACCGTCCGTAACCTTGAGACGCTGCTCTCCACCAATCGGCACAAGGAGTTCCAGACTCACCTGACAGCCAGCGAGAGGGAGTCGGAGCTGAAACTCCTTCGTGACAGACTCACGCTGGCTGACAGCAAAACGTAAACAAATCCAATTCAATAAAGTGCTTGAAATGAAACAATTAAATGTGAAGAAAAGAAAAAAAAAAGTTGAATATTATTTGTGTGTACATACACTCAGTGCGGAACATTCCCGGGAGGTGTCCCAGCTCCGTGGTAAAGTGTCTCAGCTGCAGACGGAGATGGATGTTCTGAAAAGACAGCTGACCACTGAACGATTCGAACGGTGAGGTCGACGACTGCTGGTCCTCACACTGCCCCCCCCCCACCCCCAGACGTAACTCGGCTAATATCAATGTATAATTTATCCTGTAGCCTCATAATTACATGAGTAGCATAGTTAATGCAACAGCAGTGTTCAGGAGCTAGATTATTAACCCGTATTAAACTAGTTTTGTGTGGAACAAGCTACTGAAGCTGTCAGAGCAGGAGCATCTCTCCCTGTCTCCTCTCTTCAGAGAGCACCTCCTCTCCTAACACCTCCAGCACACTAACACGTCTAACTAGCTCTTACTGTCAACTTTCACTGCATCTTCTTGCTCTTTGCATTATTGAATAAATGTAGTATTTAGTTCTTACACCAAGGTTTCCTGCTGCACTGAAGCTTCAGTGATGACCCTCACTGCCAGACCAGTAAATGTAATGATGTAACTACTGAGGACTCGTGGGTCGGAACGTGAACATGTTGACAGGCGTCACAGCTGATGTGATACCACATATTATATTATATCACATTTAAGAAGCTGGAATCAGTTATTTCTGACTTTTCTTTTTTTTTCAAATGATCAAAATTGTTAGTTTTTTGTTTTCGACAATCAATTAATTGACTGATTGTTTCAGCTTTCCTCAAATATAGTTATAGAAAAGCGTGATTAGCTACAGTAAGTATAAGTAGTCGAGTACTTGAAAAGCTTTAACGCATGTAGTACAAGGACGTAAACAACACGCTGGAGACGCAGCACATTGTGACCTCGTCTTGCTGTCTGTCCTCAGAGAGAGGGCGATCCAGGAGATGCGCAGGCAGGGTTTGTCCTTCTCCTCCCTCAGCATCTCCTCCGGTTCTCATCACATCTCCCCGGAGCGCTCCATCCTCCGAAGTCTGGAACGCTCCATTGACAAGTGCGCAGACAAGTAAGACGTTGAAAATGAAAATGATGAAGCTGTTTTTAGGGCTAATTATTTTACATATATTTTATATTTAGTAATATACTTGTTTGTCAAACGGGAATGATCATTTTTGGATGTTGGGGGATAAAATCTGGGTTAAAAACCAGATCTGGTCCTTTGATCAATGAAAACTAATAAAAGCCAAAAAGAACGAACCATAACTATTTTTAACAATTATTTCTCATGTGACTGAACTTTCTTCCCTTCCTCTTTTCAGAAGTGTGAGCTTCAAGGATTAACAACGAGACGGGGCAAATGAAGGCGCCGATGAGTGAGTCAGAAACCACTAGAAGCCTGTGCTTGAAGTCTGAAGTCTGGACGTGAATTGTGAAGGTCTTTATAAGTCTGAGTATTAATTAGTCTGTAGGATACCTCGGTACAACTTTATTCCCCGTCTATCCTGAAGCACCCAGGATGAAATCATGCTCACTAAAGCTCACATTGGAACAGACTGTTACATAACAGGAGCCTCCTCTCTGTCAGTATGTTGTACAGCCACTGATAGAATTAGGACTTAACTTAGTGCCTTAGAAATTAATTGTTCTCAGCAACTATAACCTCACACGTGTAGCAAGGGAAGTGTTGGTTCAGCCCTGTGGTTCTGTGTATTATGTTTAATATTCCTGTTGTTTTTTTTTAATGATGTCTAAATTATTAAATTATTCACAAAATAAAACAATTGAAAATGACAGAAACTGCAGCGATGTACATCACAACACTTGGAACTTCTGCTTTTATTAGATGGAATATAATGAAAGTAAATAGAAAAGATGGGAAAGAGGCTTGATTTAAACCCCACAGCCCTCTGGGTACATGCTGTGTGTGTGTGTGTGTGTGTGTGTGTGTGTGTGTGTGTGTGTGTGTGTGTGTTTTAGCCTGCTAAACCACTGAATGCCCACTGAAGCCATTAACCCTTCATCTCCGCCAATATCTACATGAAGAAACGACTTTATTTACATCTGCGTCTGTCGAGTGAAGTGATTCCTTTACTGTAATAGTAACAGTGTATGTAACGTACATCTCAGTAACTTTCCTTTGTCTGCAGCTGATTTCAAGCTTTAGTGGTTTTGACGTCAAGTCTCCATCTCCTCCAATAATCAGCATGTTGCAACGACGTGAGGACATCTCAAGTAAAAAATGTGTAACAGCCGTCAACGCTCCCTAAGCATAAAAATAATACAAATGATTCTCTATAAAAAATAATCTCCAAACTATAAGACATTGCACGTTTAATGCCGGCAGTGTTCAGTGGTTGTGTTGGGGAGCGGATAAGTGAAGAGGGAGAAGTCTAAAATGTACTTGGGCAGGAGTTCCCTCAGCAGCTTCTGTGGCAGGCTGCACAGATAATAGTGTAACGTCTCTGTGGTGACCGGCTTGTACCACGTCTGCCTCTCCGGGAAGTGAACGTAAGGAGGCGCTCCGATGCGCTGGAGCACAAACTCCGCGTCGCTTTCCAGGTGCTCGTAGGAGCCGATGAAGTCATAAGACACGGCACAAGGTTGGCACAAGTTGTACACCGGCATCCAGTGCTCGTTCATACGCTCCACATCCTCGTCCAGCAGGTAACGGACAAACTCCGCGAAGGTCACATCATCTCCTCTCACGGATGAGTCCTTGGCGCGGCCCTTCCTGTACCGCTTTATGATCTCAACGCCATACTTTTTCTGGTAGGACTCGATCTCTCCAAACTTGTTCCTGTAGGCAGACAGCAGGCGCTCCATGGGCTCCCGCACGAACATGAATTTGAAGTAATGCTTGAGGCGGTAGCGGATCTCCTCGGGTTTCAGAGAGGACAGGAAGAGCAGGTCGCTGCGGTGGTCCATCTTGATGTTGACGTCAACGCTCTCCAGCGCTCCGTTCAGAACCTTCAGAACCCTCTTCCAGTTGGAGCACGCCACCTTGGGGACGTAGCAGTAGAGGAAGTGGTACTCGTCGTTGACCAGGACGTGCTGCAGCAGCGTCTTCCTCTGCAGGGGGCTCAGAGACCAGATGCTGTGGGGCATGTTCTTCTGGCTGCACATGGTCCTGATGGTCCGGTTGCGGATCTCCTGGAGGATCTACACGTGGACACAGAAAGGAGCATTTTACCTATTTTACACCAGTATTACTGAGATGTGAAAACCTTTTGTAAAGTTGCAGAGGATTATGGGAAGTGAAGTACAATGTTTTTGAAATATGACCCACAGTGGAGACTAGAAGTCAGGAAATCTAAATCTCTGCTGCCCAACACTTAGAAATATTAGTTTAGTTTATTGGTCCGACTTTACAATAAGACTACTCTTACAAAGGATTTATAAATGGTTTATAATTAGGTTATTAATTTAGATGTTAACACTATAATCACAAAATAAACAATCTTATAACTGTCTTATTGTAGCTCATTAATAAATTATGATGTGTTTTCCTTTTACAATAAGGCTCCTTATCCAGTTATAAATGGTAGTAAGTCATTAGTAATACTAATGAGTAGTTAACATTAGTTTGATCTTGCCAAATTGTGAGCCTGCATCAACTGTTAAAACTTGTTTATAATTGTTTGTGATTTATAAAGTGTTATTATAAACCATTTATAAATCCTTTATATGGGTCTTATTGTGAAGTGGTACTAGTTTATTTATTTATTTATTTGATTGGGTAAATGCAATTTAACACTTTCAAAACCGAGTATTAAACTAATGTGTTGCTCAGAGAGTTTATAGCTGTGGTAATCCCTAGTTGGGCTTTTACATGTGTAATGGACTTAAAACAAAAACAACTGAACAGTCAGCTGAAGGAACTGATTATAGGAGGCTGCTGTGGAGGGTAAACACACCCAGCTCCCACCTGATCCAACTTCTGAAGCCTGCAGGAAAGTTTCTGCTCAACGCATTAAGTTTTAAAAGAGAGAAATGACACATGAACGTGTTGTGGTTGAGTGAGGAAACGCCTCTGCGGCTTTTCATCCTGTTTACGGCAGATCTGCTAATATTGTGAAATGCCTTCACATAAGTCCGCAGACAAAGCAAAAAAAACCCCTGCAGGCTACACCGAGCCCGGTCAACCTCCGGCAGACCTCCACGGTGCCTTTCACGACTGTTACCTGGGACTCCACGTCCACTGCAGCCGAGCTGTGCTTCCCGGGCTGTCGGATGGAGTCCAGCCGCCTGCCGCTACCCCGGGGTGGAGGCGTATCCATGCTGTTCAGCATTCCTTTCTCTATCATGAGCAGCAGGCCTCCGGATGCGACGATCACCAGGAACGTTAGCACGGACGGCAGCACGGCGGAGCTGCGGCGGACCGAGCCCGAGCTCACCGTGGTCCTAAAGTTCATCACCGAGCCGCTGCGCGCGGCCCCGGTCCTCTTCACCCCGGAGTCCGGCCTGCGGGGAGCCATGCTGGGTGTCCGGCTGCTCTGATCCACACCTATCGGCTGTTTGAAAGTTTACGGTTAACGACTACGTCAGAAGAGACCGTCGGTTATCTACCACGTACCCATACTTAACTTTTAAACTGCGTGAAGTCAGCCGGCGTGAATATATCGATTCCTGTTTGAACTGTCAAAATAAAACCAACTTCACGTGTTACATGTCGCAAACACTTTATCTACAGTGGAAAAACTTCCTTTTCCTGGACTCTGTCACATTGTCTTGCTCTTTATTAATTTCCTCTCACGGGGCGTTTTCATCTGAAGACACTAATATCAAAAACAGCCAGACTTTTAAAAAAGAGATCCGGTTAACATTTTCAAAATAAAGTCATCCACTGTATTTTTCCACTAGAAAGAGTAAAAACATATAAAGACTAACGTGAATACAATTCATGATCATTTTATTTCGTCAGAATACCTTAATGTAGGCATATTTATAACTACAGAAAGGTGTGGGAGTGTTGTGGGGCCTTGCAGAGGGAGGTGCTGTGAACACACCAGTCCCCAGCACCTCCTCCCAGGGACTCCTCAAATGCCCCCAGGCAATCTGGGAGATGTAGTTCAGCTAGTGTGTGCTGTGTTTGCCTTGTTTAGCCAAAGCTCAAAGAACCCTTGAACCTTAACTCCCAATAATTTTTCTCTTTTTTAGTTATTTTTTTTTTCATGCCTTTATTAGAGTAGCAGAGAGAGAGAGACAGGAAGGTGATGACATGCAGCAAAGAGTCATGGGTCGGATTCGAACCCAGGCCGCTGTATAGCTTTATGATCCCTCAGTCTGTTCTTGAACACTCATTGAGGAGTCAACAAGGTCTCTACAGTCAAAGACACACTCAGACTGCGACTGAACCATAAGCACAACACTCGAGTTGTAATGGCCCACTTCATTCTTCTTCATTTTTAGCCCTGTTCACACACTTCCTGTGTTTATACCCCTCTCTGCTGCATTCACGTTCTCCAAATGGTTTATACTCCCAGTCAGAAATAACCGTCTTCTGACAGTGTTTCACAGGCGTCACGGTGCTGTTAGATTCACGTCTGTAATACAGTGAAGAGTCTTTAGTCACGATCCGGTGGAGATCAGTTCTTGTAAAATCGCTCAGAGCCACGTCACCTGGCTCCTCTCACTGTGGAGGAACAGTGAGCTGAGTCAGCCACATCCATCCACTTAATCATAAACTTAATCATTACCATTAGAGCCTGATTCAAAACATGATCACTGCACATTAGCACCAATAAATCCTGCGTCTTTACAGTCTTTAATCAGATGCTACCTGAACCTTTCTGCTCAGGGCTGTTGCTCGCTCTTAATCTTTTCCTGGTGGTAAACCAGAGTCCAAACTCTGAACATCACATTCACATCAAAAGACTCTGAAGTTCATCAACTTCTACACAAAAGGCAAACATTAGGCCTACACAGTCTTTAACCAACTAAACACGTTTTAATGAGTCTGACCAGGAGTTAACTTTTCATCCAGTGTGATTAACATGATAACGCAAAGTAGGTACTTTTTTTTAAAGCATATTTTTTATTGGTTATATCAACTTTGTTATAGTAAATCTAAATATAGGGTTATATATTCACCCCTTTAGTTTGTAAAGCTTATTACATATGGACAAAATAGATTCTGATATTGATCCTGCGCACACGTCCTGCATCATGTATCTGCGTCATCAAGTAATCTTAAATAAGTAATGTGAGTAAAATTATTAAAAATAAAAAAATCAAAGTTTCATATTGTAAAAATAAGTTAAAACATATTTATTTGTTAATAAATATGTTAATAAAAAACAAGCTTTTCAACCTTTGTATCAACAGGTTCATGTCTGATGTTCGGAGGTTGTTTCATGTGACTTTCTGCCCTTTCATTCCAGGGAGTTGCAGTGCTCGGCATGTTGGCGTGTTTCTTATGGAGTCATTAAAAAGAATAAATCTGTAAAAGAATAAGAAAATAAATGTGGAAATATAAACAGGAATGAATAAAGGAATTTATAGATAAATAAATAAATGTGGAAATATAAAGAGAAATAAATAAAACAATAGAAAAAAATGCCTTTACCTGTTGCTTTTGCATTTAACGTATTGTTTTTGCTTGTTATTGTCTATTATTTTGTATTTATTCTTTTTCGTGGCGCTCTCATGACTCCATAGTTTCTTCCAGAAAGCTGATTTTTAAAAAAAAAGCACTGTTAAATATATATTTTTAAAAACAGCCA